CCATTTCTTATTTAATTACATTTTTTGATTTTATTTTATAAATATTTCAATGCAGGTATGTAACCAGACTTTGGTAATTGATATTGATATTGCGTACATAAAATTGGTTCATTTTTTAACCTTAATACTGTTTAAGGATTTTCAGCCGACATAAACACATCCAATTTGATTGTGTCGTATCATGGATATTCAAAATTATATGCTATAAATTGATAACGTTGTAGCCTATTTAGTAGGCAATGATATTATGCAATATAAGGAATTTTTTTAATATTCGAAAAACACACATAATCGTGCTCACAAAATCTGATTCGACTCGATGCACTGATAACGGATAACGGTTATGGACCAATTAAACAAATTGTTAGAGTGCGCTCGTTATTAGAGGGGTATTGATTACGACGTAATAAAATGTCGAGAGTTTCTTCTCCCCAGACAAGATGTCATTTTCCAATCTCTATTCATTTAAACCCTTTTACTATACCTATTATCCATAATACTCTGCTCTAACATGTCTTATGCGTTTTTCAAAGACTCCCTCTTTTTGGTTTAAAACTTTAAACGTCAAACATAATTGTTTATTAAAGTTTTAAATAATTAGTTTTTAAGAAATATTGTTTGGTATATTGTTATGAGCATAATACTCTTGTATCATTGATCTTCCGCCATATTCTGGCCGCAGTATTTTTCTTGAAAAATAAATAATTGGTATAACACATGGTTAGACTTAGTACATAATACAAAGTGATTCACTAAGCATGCTCATTCCCATATTTAATAGGTTATCGTTCAAACTATGATTTAGATGAAATAAATAATTTCGAAAAATCATTTGCCTAATAAATTACTGTAAAACAGGTTGGTTCTTATTTTCGAAAAAATAAGTATGTATCTCCACGACGTGACGCTAAAAGACACTTCTTGAATGGTTTTAAATATCTAAATAATTGAAAATATGATCCTTAAGTTTACTGAAAAATTAAAAAAATCAGAATTTTCACAAATGCATTAGTAAAAATAGGGAAATGCTTGGTGAAAAACTCCGTATAACATCGCCATATTATATATTATTACTGCGAGATACTTTTACAATTCGAATTGGGTTTACGATATAACATTATGATCGAATGTGATCCATTTTCAGAAAAGTTTTCACGAAAAGCTACTTACACACAAAGCGCTTTGAACGCTAAATCGAATATGTTCGGCGATAGCGTCTTAATCCTACACGTCTGTTGTACGATAATTTACTCGAATTTTAGAAGTGTTGCTTGTTTAATGAAAATTCGTCAAAACGTTCTTTGTGTGTTAACCTATCACGGTAGGTATTACACAGGTAATAATTGTTTGACGCAATGGTATTCGCACGTACCGTTTTCGGTACCTGTGTAGGTAATCACCGTTTGGAAAAACGATTTTTCTCTCTCTAAAGGTCTCCGTGACATTGACATTGATGGATTTTTACTATACAACCGACTGTTCGTGACCAGGTCTCATTTTAAAACCCACGCACGGTCGTACAATCATAGTATAGGGTGTAACATAAATAACCAACGGATGTATCGATTATAATTTGAATACCTACTTTTGTTTTAATCAATATTTTAAATTTTATTTCCCAACGCATATGACTATACCATGTTAACAGGTAGCAGGTCAGTAATATTATATTATTAAAAAAAAATGTTTATCACCAAAATTATATTGAAAGGTTCTTTATTTTATCAGTTTTTCCTCTTACGACTTGTGCACATACGCTGTATTTGTATAATACGGGTACGGTTTGATTTCGAAAGTCTGACGATATATCACCAATGCCGACCCAAATGCTATTGCCTCGACCGTTTCGACGTAAATCTTTTTCCGATACATGCGTACATGCCTACAATTCGATATGTTTCCAGTCCGGTCGTGTCGACAGTAAAAAAATATGCACGTCAATACTCATAAATGTACGTCTGTTCCGGTTAAACGGGTCACGTCCAATACCTAATTGTTCGGTACAAATAATATAATAATGGATAAGTATATTATATTATAACGATGAATGGTAGGTACAGCAAAATAATCGAAATTTCGTGCAACCCGTAGCATATGAGCTGCACACTTATATTACACGAAGTTTTTTTCTTCACAATATTTTTACCATGTGGTGTCCCACGTCCCTCAAATAAATCGAAAAACAAGTTTCCGTTTTTAGGACGTGACTGCTTATACGTGTTTGTTTGTACAACATATCGATTAGGTCAATAATCTAAATAAATATTTAAAAGTAACCAACTGAAACATTGAAATTCATAGAAAACGTCGGTCAACAATAAAAAGCTTAAACAAAAGTTGGGAAACTCGAGTCAGCACAGCCGTAAGACTAACAATGATGGATTGTACTTTATAATATTATAATAATATAACGTTTTTCAAGTTTGTCCAAATGACCTTCCGATCGATTATACAGTCAGTTCTTGCGGTCAAAAGTGATGTTCAAACTTCAAAGTACCTATAACGCGTTTTTTTTATTTTGTTCTATCGTCTAGCGTGAACACGAGCAAATGAGATAATATTATATGAAGATAAAATACAAGTACCTAAACAATATTAATGTGTACATAGTTGACACAGTTAACTCTTCGACGAGCTTAACGGAATTTGAAGGATGATTTTCTACAACGCAGATACACGAGATTATTTTACGTACCTAAAAGTTATATGAAAATTGGACAGTAATCAATAAGACATTTTTGTTTTTTTTTTTGTTTTATGTTACCTTTTTTTCCACGTGAAACTTTAGGTTTTGTTGCCGTTTGTATATCATGAATAGAATCTCTCAACATGTTCATTATTCAATACGTCTAAAGTAATAATTGTTATTTGTTATAAATCACTATACCTATAGGTTTGTTTTTTACTTGAGCATAATACACAATTTACACAATCTGCTTATTATAATAATATGCCTTATAGTTGGTGAGTTGTTATTCAAATGTTGTATAGACATGAAGACGTGCGATTGTAATGAATAATTATGCACTATACCTATAACGAGCGTGAAATTAAAAAAAAAAAAATAATAATATGATTGTTTTATTATTTTGTGTATTTTTCTGAATGTAAATTTTTATTTGAATAAAAAGTAATATACCACTATTACATTATTCTGTAGGTGAGTTGTATTTTTTTTAGTGAAACCCGAACGCATTACTATACAATATTATATGTGTGTAATTGATTTTTTCGTATAGTTAAACTAAAACATTATACACGTAATTAGTAATTACTGTTATTACTGGAGCTGCAGTATGGCGTGTGTAAACGTCAAAACTCAATTATTCAAATTTAACAGCCATTATATTTATTAAGCTATGCGTAGAAAAATATGCGCTTGGATTTCTAAAACACATTTCTCTACACGGCTCATTAATATAAGTTTTAAAATTGATAAAAACCACTCTCCGTTATTATAATAGTCATAATATACTCTGCACACTGCATTATAATATCATAATGATATTTCGCATACCAATAAATATGAGTACAATTTTCATGACGGAAAAATTATTTGATCTGAGGTTTTATCATACTCCTAATAGAGTCCAATATTATTACAAAATAATAATGTTGATAATGAGGGTAATATTGTAAAATTATTCTTCAATAATTGTTATTGAGCTAAGATTCCTGTAACCAGTGGCCCAAGTTGCCAAGCCAGTTGACAAAAAAATAAACAAGTGTGTGTTCTACTCTATACTTCAAAATGTTGCACCCAGTATTTTTTCAATTACTCTAAGGCACATCTAAAAAATAAATTTAGTAGTACATGTTTTTTTTTTTTTGGAATATCATTGCTTTTATGTATAATCGAAATACATTTGCAAATATCATACGATATTGTGTACTGTTATAAACTCGATTTTGAAAGTAACAACTTCACTGCGTGGCTCTTACTAGTAGCTGAACCCTTATAGGTATCAAATTATCATTCACTAGTCAGCGAGCCCAATTAAATTCACGTTCTACGTACTTTTCAGCAGATAATTTTTGGGGTGGGCTATAGTAGATAGAAATACTAGCAAGTGATCTACTACTTAGAGGCTACTGTCTACTATATATTTAACAGTTTATATAACTATATATTAACTATATATAACTATACATTATATATAACTATGTATTTGTTATTTTTCAACAGGCTATGAAATATTATAACTTATAATAGTACCTAATAAAATATATTGTTGTTCTATTTAAAAATACTATAATTTAGGGGGGGCTGCAGGCCGCTAGGCCCACCCCTATATACGCCACTACTTTTCAGAATATGAGGATATGTGTCTTACGATTTTAGTACCCTCGAGATTTCGTCCCTCTAGGTTTTTATGACCCAGATACCACATGCTGTATATATTATATTATATTATATTATTAACATTTAGATTCTAAATCCAGAAATTGGATGTGAACTGCAGCATGTGTCAAACACGTGAACATTTTGTATGCACATAGCACATACCTACTGTAAATTAATACAATAAAATATTACGACAATATTTTGTTCGTCTCTCGTCTGTAGTATTATTACAGTACAATGGCCATAGGTACTTGGAGTGCGCGTGCACAAAAATTAATCACGTGCAAGCCTATTTGAGATTATAAAATGCTATTAATAGTGTTTATTATCAATATAGCCTATAAATATATCGCAAACGAGTACTCAACTTCTTATTAATAGACCGAGTTAATTCATTCGGCGGATAAAGCGATTTTTTATAACTGCCAAGCACTTTTGACGACCTAGACCTCTCCACGTCTCGCCGGAAAAAAATACTATAATAATGGGCACTCGAGGATGGGGCATAATATTATAAGGACACTTGCTGTATCTTTTTAAGTCTTTCAACAATTTTTCTATTTATCGAAAACACCTCAAACCACTGCTAATTATAGATCAGCACACTCCGTATAGGTACCGTATGTACCTGTCACCTCCGCCCCAGTAATTTTAATCACCAAGTCCTCGTCGCAACGTGTTGCCAATTGCCAAATCTCGAGTATTCGACGGCATAGGAGTTATGACTTATGACTGCAGTCTGTTCTTCTCGAGTCCTTGGAATTACGTGTGTCCTCTCGGACGAAATAATCTCAGACTGATTTCGTTGGATTAATATCCAAGCTGGTAAACGATTATATTTATACTTGACCAAATGGATCAACTCTGAATATCTAGGTAGAATAATTAACCAAGGTGGCATCGTAGAAATATTATCTAGGATTGCACAGGCGATGTCTGTATTCATATGGACAAGAAGAAATGGTGAGATGAAATTCCTTATAGGTGCAAATGTATGGTCGTATTGGAGTCTATATTAAATGAATGAGACATTTTGGAATTATGGATAAGTCTGAGCAAAATATCATGGACACTTTGAGATATGGTTCTGGAGAAGGATGATATACATGAGGAGGACAAAATGAAGAACAAAGTCAGCATATTATACTCAGTGACATAAAATAACTCGGAGAGATACTAAGAAAAATTTGAGTATTACATTAGAACATGATTTGTCACACATCGAACATGAAAATGAACTCCGAGTAAAAAGAATAAAACATTGATCAAATTAATAGTGTTAAAAAGAAACTTTTGTAAAATGTATTAATTTATTTTGTCAAGTTTATTAAAATGCAAAATATTGTATGCACTTAAATAAATAGATAAGTTTTATAAAACAAGAACATTTTTAAACAAATTTATGAAGAATAAACTTTGTATTGTATAATTTTTTTTTTAAATATCATATTCAAATATTATATTGTGGTATAAATCATAAAATCCATTATCCTCCCACACAAAAAAAAAAAAATTTTAAGTACATAATATACTTAAGCAATAAAAACATAGTAAAAACAGTTACATTTATTTATACTCACTATAAAGTCTATGTTTGGACTCCGAAATATTCATACCTAAATATAATAAACAAAATGTTGTATAAAACAGTACAAAACCATTAAATTCACAGACTTATTATCATGAATCGTAATGATAATGGTGAATTGTCAAATACGTATTATAAGTGAGTACAAAGTATAATTCAGTCCGAAAAATTATTGACATTTCTTAAGTTTATTTTTTTTGGAAAATTCGACTGGTGGTTCCGTTTGGGTGTTTGTGCATGACGTGCACTTTCCGTGAAATCTATTATACAATTATTTCTTTTGGGGTATGTTTTTTTTCGAATATCGGTTGTAACGATGTATTTGAGTGTGTGTCCGACCGGTACAATTAACTTTTTCGATCACACCACCAATAGTAATTTATTATCTACGCTTGAGATTACGTAAATTGGAAACAAATAAAACGACATTTTTCCGAGTGTTTGTTCACACTCAGATAACGCATATGATTTATGTTCAATAATAGAATAAATATATAGGTGAACTCTGGTGAAGTATGTATATACGATCAACATTGTTTGAATTTAAATAATATAATAAATAATAATAACTACACCATTTTAGGTTGTTTTAATTATGCATGCCATTTAAGTATTGCATGTGCACCGTTTAGTATAGATTAACTGTTAAAGCCTATAAGAATAGGAGTTATTAAAAATTGTCAATAAAATAGTATGAATTGATTATCAATTATCAATAAAATACTGGAAATACATTTTAGACATAGCTGGTATTGTAGCATATTTTAAGAGTTAAGTTTAGGTTTTTCGGTTTATTTTTGTGGACTCAAAGAATATTTTTCAATTGGACGGCGGTGTTAATTTTTTTTTGGATATCTTTTCACAGAGCTTGTAACTTTAAGAATTTAAAACTTAATGGTCAACACAAATACATTACTAGCTGAATCAAAATATAATCGTTGATTTCCCGGACACTTTTTAATGATTATAAATCGTGATCTCAGTCCTAAGACACCAATATTATAGTCTGAAAAACTGATCTACAGGCAATCTAATGTTTTTAATTATAAAAAAAACCTCCTCTTTACTTGGAAAGCTTTAGCCGCCCGGTGCATAATAATGTATAATTCTACAGTACCTAGGTTTTGTGTTATATTATATGTACACGTAATATATTAAAAACGAGATTAGAAACCTGAAAGGTCGAATCAGTCACGTCTGATTTCCTCTCATAACATATAGGGAGAGTATCATGATTCAATTTAATTATGATAATTTTACTCTCGTGTTTTTTCACGGTTTAAAAACTAATCGAATTAGCCGTCGGTCTCGAGACGTTTATAGGTATGAGATACATCACTCGGCTATATGCGTTTGCCAAGTCAGGTTAAATTTTTTATATTATAAATTATAATACATGTGACCGCACTGACCAGCGATTACAAGTGCTTTGAATGAAATGAGTTTAAATTTGTTTTTCGAATCAAGAACAAAAGCCAACCACCTACTTATCATTAATTAGTGTAGGCAATATTAATAACTACGAATTCAATAACTACATACGTTAACAAGTCTTATTAATACGATCCATTAATTTTATAATAATTATAACTATGAAAACTTTCGATAGGGTTTTATAAAAGGAAAAAAATTTACCAATCATCCAAACAAATTATACCTAACGCACTGTCGTATGATCAATTAATTTATGATAATCTACGAGTGCTCCACGAGTGTTATAGTATGATGTAAATCGTTTGTATTTTGAGTAGTACAATTTAGAAACAAATTTAAAAAAAAAACAAATTACGGTAATTTATAATTCATTGTACAGTTGATTTTTAAACAAGGTCAACATGTTTTGTTAAGTTTATCATGTTCCATTATTCTGTGTAACCATTGTTCAATTTGCCATACATATTGTATTTTAATAATTTAAATTAAAATATATTATTAATTTCGTCAAACTGAATAACATAACATAAATACAGAGTGATCGTCTTGCCATATGTCGTAAATACCAAATTTTCAATTATTTAGATTTTCTATCTTTCGTTTCGCTACAGAACACTTCTAAAATAATAAATAAATCCAACTACCTATATGGAAACATGGTCCATTACATAAAAATTCAAAATTGAATAAGTGCATTGTTGAAGAATAAGGGGACGGGGGTGAGTATATGCTTGCAGGTGAAACACCTTGTATAAATTCCTCGATATGATAATAATGAATAAAATATTATTCAAAACATGTACTGCTCATGTGATTTATACCACCTGTCCCGTGAAAGGATTAGTATAAAAGTTCATTTTGCAGATATTATAATATTACATAAATATAATTACTATAGGTACTATTAATTATATTATTATGGTTTTCAAACGTTAATGGTTATTACGAACAGGAAATAAATAACAACAACAAAAAAGTTGTTCTTAATGTCTTGTAATAATTTATCAATTCACACTTTTGCCAACTACCTACCTTAATACATTGAGCGATAACTGTCTTATTATTTACGTGCCCGATAAAATGCGTTTTCAATAATAAGAGTCGCTAATTATATTTTATTTGATCGTGACTTTCTAAAACGGTCTGCCTTCCGTCTCAACCGCAGCCATTCACTTTTTCAAAGGTCACGCGAGCAATAAAGAGCGTTTAAGTACATTGTCATATAGGAAAATATAGTTTTCGATGATAATTATTTCGAGTACCCATTTTGTAGTGGTGGTATATAGATTTGATTGGTACTCTGACCGCAGTGGTGTACGCTGAGTTGTTGTTTTGATAATATTGTACTATCGACCGAAAACGCGAAAAGGAAAAGTATTTTTTACGTCCATGAAAAACCGTGAATAAGTAGAGCGCAAGTTGAAAACAAAGACCATAATATCGATTGTTGAATAGCGCACACACTTATACCTAATAGGTTTACGCGGACAAAATATGCATTCAATGACGCGGTATTACAAATAATTGAAACATTAATATTTCTAATTTTCTATTACACTATTCTCTCCTTTATATACATATTATGTAATATTGTAAAATGTATGTTATATTCTGTTCCAAAATGTTTATAATAATTAACAATTAAATTAATAAATATTTCATAATACATAGACGAAAATCCCTTCATTTTATTTTTCTAGGTGGCGGTGGCTAACATTATACTACGTATAATGTATATATACATAAAAAAAAATGTTCACCCTTCTCCTTGTTTTTATTTATTTATTTATTTATTTTACATTACGGGACTAGCCCAAAGTACAATTAACGGAATAAGATACAGACAAAACATTATAATAAAATTGATATAAAACAAAGACTAAAGCTTAAAGACTAGAGAGTAGAGAGGTTCTCATTTGCTAAACGCATCATTCGGTGGATAGGGTGGTTTCGGCCATAGTTAGTGGTGTGTCGAGGAACGTAGTAGGGGGCCGTTAGCCTGGAAGATCTACTTGGAACACGAAAGTTTACCTCAGCGAGAAGCTCGGGAGCATTTATGGTACCATTCGTAAGTTTATTTAGGAAGTTAATGTTGGCAAAGACTCTTCTATCGGAAAGACTACTAAGTTGTAAGTGGTGTAAGACTGGAGAATAATCGTGAGGTTCATGATGGATATTAAGACAAAAGGATGCAAAATTAAGGAATTTACGCTGAACACGCTCAAGTAGGGAAGAGTCTGAGGTTGTATAAGGATCCCAAAGAATGGAACCATATTCTATTATTGTATGTATGGTTATTCTGTATTTAGGCGATATATTCTGTACAATACAAATTGTGTGGCTTTACACCGTGATGATCAACTAGGTAGATTTCAATTCATATTTAAAATTTTTAGCAGATCGAGGAATACCTGTCTGTTTAAAAAAAAACAAATATATCTGACCTCACGTTTTGAAGCAGAGTATTGAGATTGATTTCTGGTAAAACCGTAAATTTAATTAGTATACTTATATTCTGAAAATAAGCAGTTCATAGTACTTATCTTAGTATATAGGAAAAACTAACAACAATCAGTGAAAAACCAAAATATTTACGGAATACCATAAAACCTATACAAAATATTTATGATTGAAATTTATAAAGGAATAATCGTAGAGACTTGTCATTTCACCAGATACTTAAATTAGTATTTCCTAGATATTATAATATCAATTATAAAATATTTTAGATCTTTTTGATGTATTCATTTTAATCTTATGAGATTTGAAATTTTCGAATATTGTTTATGTGTTTTTGAATACAAAATTCCAAATATTAAGTTGTTAAATTAATTTATGTAGAGACTATATTGAATGGAGTTTGTGATTATAGCAACCAATTGTCTAACAATATAATGTTTATGCCATACTTTAATACTTTAATT